TTGAGCACTTTTACTCTCTATTAATTGCGTAGTTTCTTTATAACCCCTCTCTACGCCTTGACTGGATTATTGTTTATCACTTTGTCAGACTAAGCAATAATTGACCTCAGATCTGTATACCTCCCTGAGGTGCCAGTAACCATTCTGAGATTCATATACTCTTTAATTTTGAGTAAAAAAAAAAACGCCGAATACTTTTTGTCAAACTCAATAAATACCATAACATTAATTATAACGAGAGTGAATATTATTTATACTTTTTAATTTTGGGTACAAAAAATACTATAATATTAATTATTACGAGTGAGTATTATTTATCAGTTAATAAATAATCCTCACAATATTATTTTTCAGATCGCACATTCTTTAATTTTGGGTAAAAAAAAAAATAGCGCCGAATACTTTTTGCCCAACCCAAAAAAAAACTATAATATTAATTATTATGAGTGAACGTTTCTAAAGTTACTCAAATTGTAAATATTTTAATAAATTTTTTATGATAAAAATAAATTTTTTTTTATTATTTAATAAGCATTTTTATTCTTCACAGGAAACCTGAAAAATAAACAATTTCGGATTCTTTTTCAAACAACAATAAAGGCTATTGTTCAGCTGAAGCTCGTTACTTTAGTCGAGAAGAACGGAAAAGCGAACAAAGAGCAACCAGATATTTTCCAACATGCAACAAGTTTGTCCTTGAAAAGCGGTAAGAGTGGGGAAAACAGTTTCAATTTACTTTAACAGCTTTTAGCGCATTTTCTATTTAAATGCAAATTTTAGCATAATTACGCTTAAGCCACATGCAAACATAATTGTTCTAACAAACTAACAAACTAACAAGCAAATAACAAAAGCTAAACTACAGCACAATGAATGCAGCTGTACGAATATTTCTTTGCTCCCTACCCCCGCCGCAAATGCCATCCAAAAAAAGTGTAACGTTTGCAGTGTTTTCTATGCCAGACCGCATGACAAATGACGGCGTTAAACAAATTCTACATAACTAACATAACAAACAAGCATTGTTTCACATACGCGCTAATATATGTGTACACTAGCTGGGATGTGTACATACGAGCCTCCGAGTTAAACCACCAATCCCAACATAAGGCCAGTGCTCATAACGTATCAAAATGCCCACATTGTGCCACGTTGCATGAAACGTATTTGTTTACATTAACGTGGCGCCGAACAATGCATCCACAGTGAATATATTTTGTGGGCTATGCGCTTCAATGAGTAAGTGCTTTAATGCGAACGGCTACGGCATTTCCTTGAAAAAAAGCATTAAGAGTATGAATCCCTTTTTCTAAGCTGCAACCACCACAAGACCCACAACAACCACAACATTGCAATACAAATTACAGTTCTTTCAGTACATCAGTTGTACTGATCAGGTACCTGATGTTGTTGATTTAGTCATATTTACAAAGAAGAGTTTATAATATGAACTTTTCTTTTGAAATATCATTGATTACTTATCATTGATGTGTATAACATTTATACTATAAATCACTTGAGTTTTATGCAAACATATTCTGTTTATAATTTTTACACTTTCGCAGCTCTTCAGCTGTGATATAGCTATGGGCTACAGGATCCTCGTCCTTATTTACATTAGACTCGGATCATTTCTCATGATTTGATTTCAGCTATGTGACATCCCGCCAAGTAGTTGTCAATTCACCACAATGAGCTGTAATTTAATTCTTATAGCATTCATCTCCAGTTTTCAGGACCTTGGTCTCACTCAGTCTATATTTAATAACTCCACTCCAGCAGTCTAACCTTTTCCCTTCACTATTAATGCTCTAGCTTTGGCTTTGAGCCATATAGCTTAAATTTAATTTTAATTGTATGGCATAAATCTTTCCCCAAACACCGCACAATCTACCACGAAAAGCTGAAATTCATTTCTTCCAACATCTCTCATTAAAGCCCTGGTTGTCGTGACTGTGGTCACCAATTGTATATTTAATAAATCTATCCCTTTCAGCAGTCTTACTTTTTCACTTCACTCTAGCTTTGGCTCAAATAAGTTTACCTACAAAAACTTCAAGCTTAATCACTTCTACGTCTGGTACGTCTTGTCTGGTTAAAAGAATAGTACAACACTTTTATGATTTATGGTAAAGATAATCGCATACGGTATGCGTGTGCTCTGATATATGTGCTTTCTTTGATATCAGGATAATGGATAAGTTCAAATCAGAATATGATCGTATTCAAGGAGTAATATAAAATTTCATATCACGTTTTTAGTAAGGATGGTCCTTATATGGTCCATTTCTGTTAAGATACTAAAATTAATTCCATGTTTTAGTTAAAATTATCATATATGGTACGGCTATACGTATCGAGTATATGTAAAGGCTTTATTGACTTTATTTTAGTATGAATGTCAACATTAAATAATCTTGCTTCAGGACCTCTTTGAGTACTTAAAAACCTATCAAAAAATGAGTTATCGTAACGTATTCTAATATAATCTGAGTAATATTACGGCTACTCCAAACAAGTATCCGATCACAAAAATGCGTTTTTTAAAATACCATTATTATTGTTAGGGGATGTGGCACTGCCACCGTTTGGTCTATTGTGCTCTTAAAATACCATACTCATTTACAATTTTTATTCCACATATTATAGCTTTGGTCAAATGGTGCAAAACAGTTGTTTAAAATTGTATGTCGTATTGATTGGATCTTCAATAAAATTTGTACTTTGTGTACTCATCCTTCCCGTTTATTCTATTAATTATGGCAATTTCTTTTTGACAAATTTAGTATAAATAAGAAAAACAAAAAAAAACAGTTAGAATTACAATTCGTTTATTAATATAATTAAAAATACTGTCATCTTCATTCAGTGATAATTTACTTTGCTATTCCGCTTTATAGCAGTTGTCTAATGAACACTGACTCTCAGCTCCAAATTTGGTAGGGCCTGAGTTCAACCTTTGGTACTTGAAGTTTTAAAAAATTATTTACTAAAGAGGTTTTCGAACAGTAGTGAACTAGTTACAACAACAAAAATTATTTTTTTATATTAGATTAATTAATTGAATTTTTGGCTGACCATACAGCAGTTTCGAGTATTGCCAAATACCCATCATCAGTGGTCTTGAAAATAATTCTTGTATTTAATTATTCGTAAATAATTATTTTTGAGACTGCAAGTACCAAGAATCGAACTTGTGCCCTGCCAAATTTGAAGCTTAGTGTCAGCACTTCTTAACCAACTGGAGTTTTGTTAATTTTCTGTGAAAGTTTTATTAACAAATTCGTTTGCTGCGTTCATATTAGAACGAAATCATAAACCAGCTGTAGAATAATTGAATTAATTAATTATATTTTAATTATATATTCTGTTTATGAATAATTAAATATGAGAAATAATTCCAAGACCACTAATGATGAGTATTTGGCAATACTAGAAACAGCTCTAGGGTCAGCCAAAAATTCATTGAAATAATATATAATAAAATTTTATTGTTCTGATTCAAATTTTTTTTATTTTTTAACTTTAGCAGAGTTTCTGCAATCAGTGATCTGATCGACTAATAAACAAAACTCTAACAAGACAGTGAACTAAACATTTACCTATTTCACATTCTGTATCAATCTAAAATATAAGCGTTTAATAAAAGTATTAATTAAGTAAACTATTAAACTAAAGAAAAATGTGGTTGGCAATGGGAATATAATATAAGCAGTTATTGAAAATTTGGAGTCCTTTGCTTATGACTCTTAAATAATATTATATATAAGCTTATATTAAAAATATATATATTAAAAATGCCATTAGAACGTGACACTATTGGAATCCAATACATTGTAGATTTCTCATCTAACTAAAAAATAGTACTTTACAAATCACTCTTATCTACTTGATTTATACACATAAGCTAGAACATTGATCCGTACCATTTTAGCAAAGATCTAGATAATCATTTGCTGATACATAGCCATTATAAAATCAGAATTCCGAGTAACTAAAACTGACTCAAACATAACTTGCAAACTTTTCACTGACCGGTTAATTTAATACTTCAGTCTGACTGAGTTTCGTTAGCTTATTTCCAACACCTGCAATTGAAAGGTAAATTAGATGAAAATTGTGAGTCTTTTGGCTACTAATTTCAAGTAATTTTGAAATTATAAATTAAAATCATATTTTCGGGAACATACGCAATTGTCTGTTAAAGTAGTTTTTGAATTTGTGAATTTCAAATGCATATAACCGCTAACTTGAGTAAACTAACGTTTATTGCGTAATGAGTTATACTAAAAGAATTCCATAGAGGCTTTTAACTCGGCTCAATTATGATTTTGATGTATGGAATTCATTCATTTTTATATGTAATTGAATTTTACACTTCAATTCACATTTGTACTTGTGCACATGATTGCATATAGCAGTACGTTCCCACTGCCCTAATGAAAATATTTGTAACAAGATACAAAATTTATATGTACATAACATATGTAGGAACTCGTTAACCAAATTGATATAATAGCAGCAGCCACAGTGCCAGCAACATCCCCTGCCATTCGAACTGCATTCGTAACAACAGCAATTTGGGTTAATAAACTAAGAGCGTATATGAAAATCGAAAATTGAAATAAAACATTCGCATTTTGTAAATAAGTTCCAAGCACGCATGCAGAGATGCATTTACGCTTAGTTTAGTTAGATGCATGCATACTCGATACTCGTTCACACGATTTACTTAAATACATTAGTTGTGCTCATATAATGCAGAGTTTGTATCTATGGCCATACAAATTTCGGGTGTTAACAGCTCTTATGTTGTTAGACGCTTATGCATTTACACGCCCCAACACTTAAACGTGCAATGGAGCAGTGAAATGTTATGATTTCTTACAGGACTTAAGCAATTTTTGTGTAAAAAATGATTTACACAATTTCATATTTTTTGTTTTATAGTAATATTTTTCTATTTTTGTTTGTAGTTTCGGTGTATAAATATAACTCACCTTCTATGTTTATTCCATATATTAAAGACGATTAAAGCTAATGCTACCAAGATACCGCAACTTGATATTGTGCACATGCAGATGAATAATGGTAATGATACAGTACGGAGAACGCGACGAACAATTGTTCGATCCTGTGGCACCTAAAAGCAAAAAAGTTATTTATTTAATAATATTTTATATATAAAATATTTATGTTTCAACTTTATATATAACTTTATATGTATATAACTTTTAAGATAATTATTAAAAATATATGTTTAATTGGATTCAAGGATTCAAAGCTTTTACTGTGCATAAATTAAAATTCAAATAGCACACATCTTTATAGGCTTTGTCTATTAAAATCTACTACCTTAAAATATTTCCTCAACAACAAATATATTTTTTTATGATTTCAGTTTCAGTATCTGGGTATGAATTTAGATGCCAAACTGAGATGGGTGACACACGTCAAGAAAAAACTAACTGAGCTGAATATTAGATCCAAAAAACTGACTTGGCTTATTGGACGCCGATCCAATATATCAGCAAAACAAACTCATGATTTACAAACAAGACTTCAACTGTATGTGGCTCTATAGTGTTTAAATCTAGGGTTGCACAAAAAATCATATACTCGCTATGATACAAAGGTTCCAAAACAAAGCACTCAGGGAAGCAGTTAAAGTTTTGTGGCATACGCGAAATGCTAACCTTCATTGTGACCTTGAAATACAGGCAAAAAATATAGAACGGTGCCAATACACATTATGACAGGCTGAGTCCACACTTAAACAGCACTATTCCGGCGTAACTTTGCGATGTTACACACGGATGCTTAAATAACTTCAAACCAAAGGACTGTTTGAGACGTTTCAACCAGCAAGAAGATGACTAGCTTAGATCTATATGCTCACTTTAGTTAAGTAACACTTGTTATATTAAATGAAAAAACCCCTTATTAGTTTTGCTCTTTGTTTACATATAATAACAAAAAAAAATGGTTCCAGTTTAATGTTTGTGCATTGTCCCATTTTTATTATTAATCTACTCAAATCAGGCGAACTAATCGTTAACTATGATTCAAATGAAGATAAATCCTTAAAGTGCTACTCATTATATGATAAGATATTAAAAATTTGCAGTTCCAACTTACAATATGGGTTTAATATAAATGATATTACTAATATCATTTTAGAGAGGCAATAAAATTTGTATTTTCATCACACGGTTTTGTTGGTGCAAGGTATTGATATAAACAATATTTGTGTTTTTTTAGAATAAAAATATGTAGATTAACAATATAAATTTCATATCAACAACAATCCTATACAATCTGAGTAATCTGTTCAATTCTGTTAGATAAAGGTAAACAACTTTATGGCAACAGAGGACAAAACCATATTGTTAATATTTCTTTAATAGTTACTCATTGTCCTGTCAAATTTAAAAATATTATTATAAGCTTCTTCGTAACGTAATTTAAAAATAAAAATAAATTTTTTTTTTCTAGATTTACTAGAATATTTATTTACTAAAAACTATTCTTTTGAATTTCTATATTAAAATATATAAATAGTACCAGTATCAAAATGAAATTTATAAGTGTTAAATAATGAACATAAGAAGAATTATAAGTATCTATATAATATATATTAACTTATAATTCTTCTTAGTTTATTATTTTACTTTATTCTGAGTATGTATATCTGGTTTTTAGAATGGATTTGGTAATACTCTCTTATAATAAGCTGCATATTAACTTATGAATATTAGGGGTACTCATCTAATCATATAAATTTATCAAATGTATAATTTTATACGTTTACGTACACACTTATATGAACGCACTTAGTGAAATATTTGTGTAAATTTATCAATCTGCTATATAATAGCACTATTTATATTAGCAATAATTATGACAACACAAAATGAAATGCTCAGCAATGCAATTTTTTGGCCAATATCGTTGGAATTTTATATATTAGTGCAAATATTTTTGTCAGTTGTGTTGCTATAAATAAATTATAAAATAAAATATAGAAATTGAACGAAAACTCTAAACTAAAATGTATTTACAAAGATATTTTTGTAAATCACTTACTTGTATTGGAATACAACTCTGTATTGGCAACAGATAAATTTATACGACATACATTTATTCGGTAAAATTTTCGTGTAAATTTATTAAGTTTGAGTAAACTATTTTTCATCAAAATTTAGCACTTAATTTACCAAGTAGATGAATTTATACGTTTATAAGGTTTATAAGGCATTAAACAGTTTAAATCAGTACCCCTAATGTTTTAAGAAGTATTTAAAAAAAATTAATTTATCAGGTGTCCGTTCTACATGTTACTCATATGCAGCACAATACTATTAAATAAATTTTTCAAAAAAAAACATATTACATATTGTGTTTTAATAGAATTTAGTATCATTACTAACGTTATTGTTCGCGAACGTTATTGTTCGCAGAAGTATTTTTATTAAATAAATTAATTTTACATCATCTATATGTTAAAATCACAAATTTAAGATTTTCAATGTTCCGATGATTCCAACAAAGCGATGAGGAAGATCACCCGCTTTAATTTTTAAGAATCTACAGAAAAAATTGCACACCAGATAGATCTATGAAAATAAAATATTGAGTGTAATACATCATTGGTTTTATCAAATAGTCACGACTCATTTCTCAAATGCTACAAAGCATATGATTACCATCGGTTGTTAGGAAGACATGTAACCGACGCAGTTTTCAATGTTCACAGATATGATGAAAAAAGTCAAATAATGCCTGGGAATAAAAACTGCTTATCCGTATAAATTGATAGAAAAATGACATATATGCAAAACTGGCTTGTTCTAAGTAATCTGCAAATGCTGCCTACTAATAACAAAATAAACCGTCTAGACCTCGTATGTGGTTTCTCTAACTTAGCATTTTCACAACCACAGCATTGCGTTTTTACAGAAGCAAGAGGCACACATTCAGTTTGTTCATGGTCCATATACGAAAACGTGAAATTGATGATAGATGAAGTAAATATAGAAGCACGTACTGCATGTACTATATAGCCGATAAATGCCTATAAAGATTGCCTACATCGCATGATTCTGCATACTAAACGCACATATTGTTTTTTTAAGAAGTTGCGCCAAATATCGGGGAACTGAAAACATCAATCAAAAAGTTTTGGAGATCTTTGACGACGAAACAGTTACATATAAACAATGCGTTTATCAAGACAGAGCCATATTAAAAACTTTGAGATCTCCAGTAATAGTTTGACATCTCTATATATGCAATTCTTAACGGGAGTTTGAGACAAATTGCTGTTGCATTTCCTTTATCGTTGCAAAACATGCAGAGTTTTTGAAGAATACCATAAACAACTCAGTAGAAAGCGTATGCATTATTCTTCTTCTTTTCTGATTCTAAACTCTGTGCAAGACATTCAGTAGTATAATGATCAGGCAACAATTTATCCGTTTGCAATATACTACCATGATGAAAATATATAACTACATGTAAAACTTTTGTCTGCATATCTGTCCATGTATTTGAAAAATATGCGACCAAATTATTATGAAAAATTAATTATTTTTCCGATGAATCAAGTTCACAATATAAAAATAAACAAAATTTTATTAATTTAACTCTACACAAAGCTCACTTTGATTTAGGGGCAGAATGATGCTTTTTCCAAGTTCACACGGTAGAAGATCATGCGACGACTTAGCTGGAGCCTTAAAGAGGTATGCTGCAAGAGTAAGTGTTTAACGAATACTTAATCCAATCTAAACACCGGAGTTACTTAACTGGGCTAAACAAAGTTACCCATATATTGTGTGCCATTTCTCAACATTAGAGCGTTACAAACCTGAAGGAAATAAGCAAAATCAGTTAAGGGCATATTAAAATACCACTGCTTCATTCCTTACGGCAGAAATTTTTCCAATTACAATAGAAAAACACTTCACCAAAAAAGGTAGGTTTAATTATGTGCTGCAGCTTTTTAATTTCCTGATCCATCAATATAAGAAAAAAGGTCACAAGGCGTTTCGTAATTAACCTTTTTGAAAGTAGTACATCGCGTTTCTTAAAAAACATTAGACAACTTAAAAATTCAGATGTCTCCAAATTAATTTATTTAAAAAAAATGCAATTTATAAGTGTTAACGTCTCAAAAAGTTTCATTTTTATGTAGAATTTAGTGATAAATTCAATTCAGAAATAAAAAGTAAAAATTTTTGTGTCTCCTTTTGTGGAAAATTGATTTAGAATTAGAATCTGTCAGAATCGGAGTTAAATAAGAACACGTTATCTTCCCTTTGTGTATCAAGCGTAATTAACTCTTCATTTCTTTATTAATAATTCATACATTATTCTGGTTTAAGATCACCATAATTGATCATGAATATGCGTTCTCTTACAAAGATGTACTAAGTAATTATAATAATAATAATATAATAATTATAATTATTAATTTATAATAAAAATAGGTAATAAAAAGAAGTGACAATGGTATTATGTATGGTGCGTATGAGTGACGCGTAGGACGCCTGATAAATTAGTTTAAAAAATTAATTTATATAAAGAACTATATAAAAAACTAAAGTTTATAAACTTCTTAAAACAATACCACATAGAAAATGTTTATTTTTTAAGTAGAAATTATTGGCTAATATGAATTAAAAATAAATTATGTTCCCCTTTTTTATTGTTTAGTGAAAAATCGTTTGTATCTGTTTGGTACGAGGTTAAGAGGGATTAATTTTTTAAAAGTACTTCTAAAGACAATATCGTCCTGAAATTTTTGAGTTTTATGCACAATTTTATTACAAATTGAAATTAAAAATAATATTTAAGAATAATTTTTGAAATTTCATTCATCGTAATTATAGTACACATGTGTTTGATGTATTTTACGAGGGAAAAAATTTTTAAAAAATTTAAAAAAATAATCCCATCCTGAATATTTTTATTTTCTAGTAAAATTTAACACTAAATTTAAATAAAATATAAAAAGTTCAAATTCTCGGGATACATTTGAAAAATTTTTCTTTTGAAATTTAACAGTTAATATTAATACTTCAATATAGCCAGGACAATTTTAATTATTTAAACTATTGCTTAACTAATTGCTTAATTGAA